GAAGTGACACACAACGCGAGATGCTCGATTTTTTGCCGATTTTTGACACACCGCACCAAAAAGGTTGCCTATCACTGCACTAGGGATTCAAACTGCCGAACTGCTGACCTTTCTGAACAACAAGCTCTGCGTCTTAGCCACTTTCATAGCAGTGATAAGCAATGTTTGTACGAGAAGGAGCATTTGACTATACAATGCACTTAACTTTCTTTATAAAAGATTCCTCCTTACTAAATAGAAAATATTCATTTATTACTGCTTTATTTAGAGGTTTTCTAACCAATTCTTAACCATAAAAGCTCTCAGTGCAAATACCGTATCAGTTAAGAAAAAGTGCCCTTTAAACTTTGAATATAAATAGGCACAATTAAGTAAGCAGAGATGAAATAACCAAGAGGACAGAGAAATTAGGGTAGTCCATGCTGTGTAACTATAATGGAGCTGTTACAACATCACAGTTTTAAGTTGTGAAATGGGAAGACTGGAAGAACAAGATAAAGACTACAACACAACTGAAAAACGTTTTAGCAGATATTAAATTAAATTGGTTGAATTTAATACAATTAGAGAAATGGATAAAAGTGGAAGAAAGATTCAAGGAGAAAAGTTGAAGTAATAAAATTTGAAATGATTATAAAGGAATGTGAGATGATATAGGGAAAGGAAGAACTGGGAAACTATATAGAATATTAACTGAATTAGAAGAGGTTTAAAATTAATTTGGGAATCAGATTTGGGAGAAATGAATGATAATGATTGGAAAAATACTTGAAATAGAAGAATATATAAGAATATGTCAGTTAGAGTTAAGGAAAATGGATATAAAGTGATATGGAAGTGGTACCTAACACCACGTAAATTAAATCAAATAGATGGTAAATATACAAATATTTGTTGGAAGTGCAAGAAAGAGGTTGGAACATATAAACATATGTGGTGAGATTGTGATAGTGCACAAAAAATATGGAACATGGTGTTTAGAGAAATTAGAGCACTGTTGAATGTAAATTTAGATATGTCACTGAGGATTGCATTACTGTTGCTGGTGGAAAAATGGGATATAAATGAAACAAAAAAGGAATTGATTGTAAATTTGATAATGGTAGTTAGATTAGTGATGGCTAAATATTGGGGACAAAATTGGAATATTCAAAGAAATGAGTGGTATAATGAAATTTGGAGTATGGCAATAAATGATAAATTAACAACAGAAATTAAATTTTAAAAAGGGCTGATTAAAGCAAATAATTATAATGAAATATGGGTGAATTTTATGAAATCACTGTTGGTGGAAGGCAAAGGGAATAAATCCACTCCAGAATAAACGTTGTTTTGGAGGGGGTAAAGGCACAATTGGAATATATTGTATTATCTTTTAGTTGTTATAGATGAAGAAATATAAGGGGGGGGAAAGGTCTCCAGAGGATGGGGGTGCACTGTAATATGTGTTTTTTTTACCTGCTGCACTTATGAAAGACGTTTGTTGACATTTGAAGAAATTCAAGACAGAATAATCATTCGGATAGATTAAAAACAAGATTGTTTTATATAAAAAGATGGAATATAAAGGCTTATTTGATCAGGGATCAAATGGGATCTTTTGTTACTTTAGGAATCTTTCTGGATTTGCTGATATCTGACTGGAAATGACATTGTGTACTGGATTTGCTTATCGTTAAAAGAGTTGAGATACAGGATGATGAGTTTTATGTTTGTTGATCAATGTGAGTATTTTACTAAAATGCTGGGAACACTGCTTGATATTTTCAGTTACTACATGGAACATAGGCACAATAGCAAAATGAAAACTCTATGTTCAGAGATAGCATACCCTGAATACCATCTGCTTATTCATTTTTTTGAGTTTTTTGAGTATGTATGTACCTTCAGGCCTTCAAGTTAATCTTGATTCCTGGCAACTACCTAGACACGTCCCTGCAGTTTTGCCATTGCCTCCATCCTAGGGCTGAGTAAAAGTGATTGGCCTGAGATCACTCAGCTAATCTGTGGCTAAGACAAGACTAGAACTCAAGGTCTCCCAGTGTCCTACGCCAAATTGATTCATATTAGATTATTAACTTTGACGAAGTCATTATTTCCAAGTGTCAAAAATTCATCTCAGGGAAGGAGGTGTAAGCTAGTTTTACCTTGTTTATACAGAAAAAACAAGCATGAAATTGAAGCCAGCATGAATGAATGATAGGTGATAGGGGTTAACAGCTGATCATCTCCAGTATGTCAGTTTTTATGGAATACTAGCTGATAACCCGGCGTTCCCTAGGCATTTATTTATCCTATTCCTTATTAGACAGGATTTCTAATGTTGGATTTTCCCCCTTACCAGAGAGCACCCCCACCCCTTGTGGAATACTGTGAAGCCATTACCATGGCAACTCCACTGTGCTGTACAGTAGAATTCATTTTAAGGCACAACAGGCTGTGTCTTAACAGAACACACACCCCGAGGGGTGTTAGGGGTGTCTTATCCCCACATTATTTGTTCCCAGAGAGTAAGTCATCTGTGTACCAAGTTTGGTTGAAATTGTTCAAGCCGTTCCAGAGTGATGCTGGAACGTACACACACAGAGCCATTTTTATATATATAAAAGAAGATTGTATAACACGTATTCCTAGGCAACAATGCATGGTCAAGAATATCAACTTTATGATTTCCTATTCTTCAAACTCTTTTTACTCCCAAGCTCTGACTTTCCTCTCAAAGGGTATACGGGAATGGCAGCCTTCTTCACTCAGGCTCTGAACTCAAAAAAGCTGTCTCGGACTGCTCTCTCCTGTGCACTCACTCTCTTTCCTGAGGGGAAAGTCTGATATGTCCGTAGATTCTCTGGCGAGATGCGATGGAGATGCCACATTGCTTTGGCACTCAGTGGTGGGCTAAAGGAAAGGGGGTGAGAAGAACAAGCACACAAGTGAGATATGGTTATATCACTAGTTACTGACCTCAGAAAATGCAGCATGAATGTAATAGAATCCTAGATGATGTTTGTTTGGGGGGGTGGGGGGGAATCCTGGAGGAAATGAAGCTCCCCGTCTGAAAGGGGATTCTGGTTGGAGTTCACCTGAACTAAAAATATTTATTTATTCTGAGAGCACTCTTAACCCCAAATCTCACTAGGCATTCCAGCAGCACACATAATAATCTGAATTGGTTAAATATTGCTTGTGTGTGTGAATAAAAAGTCCCCAGCTCCTTAGTCTAGGAAGTATCAGTATCTAGTGAGACTCTGACACCGTAAGTATATTGGCAAGGCCTCAAGAAATAGTTTCTTCCACACTTCCGGAGGAAGAAATAGCAGACTGAAGATGGTTCCACAAAAGAGTGGGCTGACACCCATTGCAGAATGAAGGAGAACCAGTGAGCAGAGCACTTCTATAATCTCTCTCCAGTCAAGAGGTCTTGAGATCACCCATAAGTGTTCCAGACAGCTGTTCCTTGCAAGGAAAGTGCAAGGTTTCCTTTTTTTCTGCACCTTCTACTTTGCTATTTTTCTCTCTGTGTGTGTATAATTATCCATCCACCCACCCATCTATCTATCATCTTCAAAATGTCTCTTTCCACACTGATCAACAATAAAATACACATGGTTTTCAGTAGTCAGGAAATGTGTTCCATACAATGGCTTTGGTACAACATAGATTTTCAGCAGTGCTTTCTCTCCAGATGTTTTTCTTAGATAACTAGGTGTGCAAAATGGTTCAATTGCTTTGGTTTAGATCGGGATGTCAAACTTGGATTGCCACAGCGGCATCACATGACATATTGTGACCTATCCCCCTCTTCGTTAAACCGGGCCTGGACATGGCCAGTGTGTGATGCATCTGGCTGGCGAGCCCCGAGTTTGACAGCCCTGGTTTAGATGTTACTACAACATGCATGTTTGGATAAATTACTTTAATTTTTGCAAAGCTGAGCCTCTTTGGAACTAATCTCCTGTGGTTGGTCAACTCTTTTTTGTGCATGTGGGTTTCTACTAGACAACAATTCCCTAAGGTGAACGTGGTCAACATGTTATTTATAATTGGTCTATTAGGCTGAAGAAAAGATGGAACAATTTGATCCATTTAATTGGTCCAGTTTGACTTATTTAATTATTTTTCAATGGATTTATTTATGGGTCACAAGTTGATGAAAACCTGTTATTTTCATGCTTCCCTCTCTGCTGGTAAAGCAGTGTACTGCAGGAGTATAGTCAAAGTACCTACACAAAGAAATTCTGCCACAATGTGATGACCTTCCCTCAGCTGCCCTAGGAGGCCAATACCAGAAGATTCCTTATTTGGAGAGACAATGTCCTGTGACTCTGGACACAGAGAAACAACAGAGCATGTGCTTCTCCAATGCCTGCACTACTAAGAAAGTTGTACTAGCCCCATCTCACCATTACTACATAAATGGCCAGGGCACACAGGACAACTTTAGACTAACCTATTGCTTTCAAATACCAATCCTGCTACAACTTACACTATTGTAAGTTATAGTAAGTCACACTATTTGCATTACTATTACTATTTTTTAATTTTTTAATTTTAATTGAACAAAAACATAAAAAAAGAATCATCCTTCATTACATCTTGTAGAAAGCGTGTCAATTGGTTACAGATAACCTTCGTGCATTTCTTCCAGTCATTACTTATAGTTCATATTAGATTATACACTTTAAGTCAAAAACCTTTGTATATCTTACTATCAATGTACCACAATTTTCATTTGACTACAATTATTTNTGGGAGGAAGCTTACTGCTTCCTTTCTCTGTCTATCGGCTCGTCACAAGAGACCATCCAGACAGAAACCCAATATTTTTACTGTTGCCTTTGTTACATTTTGTGTTGTATTTGTGCTGATAAATAAATAAAGGGAGACTAGTATAGATCTATTTCAAGCTATTTAGCTCTCATCAGCTAGCCATACCCAGCCCAGGTTCGAATCCCAGTAAGGGTACGGCTAGCTGATGAGAGCTAAATAGCTTGAAATAGATCTATACTAGTCTCCCTTTATTTATTTGTGTGTGTGTGTGTGTGTGTGTGTGTGTGTGTGTGTGTGTATCAGGTCCAATGCATCATGCGCTGGCCATGCGCACAACTGATTTAGTGAAGGGGGAAAGTTGCGATACGTCACATGATGCCGCCATGATGCTGTGGGTTTGGCACTCCTGGTATATATAGTAAAAATGGACGACCACCCCATTTTTATCCCAAAGATAAAAAGAAGAAGGAATTAGATTTGTTTCAAATGTTGTCCATGTTAGAACCTTCAACAAATAAGGGACTACTAAATATCCCATTTACATTGTTCTGCATACTCAAGCTCAGCATTTTTCTAGCTTGGAAAATTTTCTACCCCTTCCCAAAACAATTATTATTATTACAATTAGAAGAAGTTTCATCCAGGCTTCTCCTGACTATGCAGAAGGATTAAAAGCAATCAGAAGGCAAACTTCACATCAGCATATTGATGCATTTACACCTATATGTGATTAAATCATAACTTTACTGCAGCAAGAACTGAGGTATTTTTAAGTGATGAATCTTGGGAATTCAGATTGGCTCAAAAAAGCTCAACCAAATTGTGACCTTAGGAAAAATGACTTGTCATCATTACATTCCCCAACCACAGATGTCTTTTATACTTGGGCTTTTTCAGAAATGGAGCAGGAGCCTGAGATTAACTACTTTCTTGACACCATTTCTTTATTACCCCTCTATTTTCTGGAGACTTAAATGGACTTCCCTTGGTTCCACTATATTTCTGAAAACCCACAAGGGGCTTCAGAATTTGCCCCTTCTTTGGTTCTCCCAGCTTGTTTTACTAGCTTATGGTTTGCTTGATATTGAATATAGGAGCCCTGGTGGCACAGTGGTTAGAATGCAGTATTGCAGCTAACTCTGCCCAGAGTCTGGAGTTCGATCCTGATTCGCTCAAGGTTGAGTCAACCTCTTCTGAGGTCAGTAAAATGAAGACCCAGATTGCTGAAGGAAATATGCTGGCATTTGTAAATCAGAGTGATTTAAAGCAGTCTCTGTTGTAAAGCACTATGGAGTGGTATACAAGTGTAAGTGCTATTGTTGTGGCCCACCAGCAGCCAGTGGAGCTGGCAGCAGAGTCGGACAGTGAGGACATTGGGGAGGAACATGGGCCAGTCTTGGGGGTTGAGGAAAGCTCAGACAAGGGCTCTGCATTGGAGGCAGAGAGGGAGTTAGACAGCAGTGAGGCAGAACAGCTGGAGCCTGTTCCCAGTGTGTGCATGCACAGAGCTTCCAGAAGACAAGAACAACTAAGAAAGCAGGGTCAACTTAAGAGTAAAGCCTCACCAGTGATGGGTTCCAGATCCCGTTCCAACCAGTATGGTTGGAATGGGCCCAGTGGCTGAACGCACCGTGCGCGTGTACGGAAGCACTGAAGCCTCAAAAGACTGGTAAGGAGCTCAGGTGTGCCCTCCGGATCACCGTACTGGAACGGTATCTGGTGCTCCGGGTACGCTCCGTACCGGGGCGTGCCTCCTGCAACCCACCACTAAGCCACACCCTGGAGGTGATTGGCCCCTTCCATAGGAAACAAAAGAGGAACAAATGGGGAGTGAGCTTTTGCAGAAAACAATTCGTTCATTCGGTCGGTTCAAGAGTGGAAAGTTCAGGTTGTGACTTTAAGAGACTCTGTGCCAAGTTTGCCTTGCCCTGCGTTTGGAAACTAGTTATCTGGCAGCGTTCCAAATGAGATAAGGTGCGTGTGGATAAACATTCCTCTGAAAGACTGTTTACAAAGCCTTGCTGACTGTGAATGAAAGGCACAGTCATGTAAATAAAAGAGCTCTTGCAGGGACCAAGACTTTGCTACTTGCTTTCTAAGGAAACCTGAGTCAGAACAGCTATTGCTATTGCTATTATGTTTAGAGAATATGAACTATTTGTCTCTAATCTGATTTTGCAGTAAATGAAGGTGACTGTTTGAATTTCTTAATGATTTACTGGATAAAATGTCAGCTCAGTGGCATCCCATTGAGAATACCTTAATGGCAGGATTTCCAGAGTAACTGTTCAAAATATACTCATAAATGTATTATACAGTAATGCGCCAGAATTGACCCATATATTTGGTGTTATCTTTGGTTAGACCTTAAGCTTTGTTGCATTCCAAACTGTCAACAAAAAGTTAGGCATTTCCTGGGGGGAATTGTGGGTACAGGAAGCAGCGTTGCTATACAAGGTAGATCTGGTTATACTTGAGTTTAGTAAGCTTTCCAGGAACAAACTAAGGAAGACAAAACTAATTTGTCAAGTGAGTCCTAGTGCAGAAAACTAATTAATGTTCTTTCCAGATCCTTCAAGATCTACTTCTGAGAGACAAGAATGTGACAACATAGGAGGTTCAGGACCTTGTAACTGGACTTGCACAAGACAATAAACGTAACACTAAAGACTGCCATGAAAGATCAGATAATAAACCAGTCCATGTATTTTTGCAAAGAATATGCAAATAAACAATGATTCTGAGAACAGGAAGAAAAAAAAGTCATTCATCTAATTTTGTCTTTTCTTCCATCCAGAGTAGTTATAAAGGTAAAGGTAAAGGTGTCTCTCGCACATATGTACCAGTTGTTCCGAATTCTAGGGTGCAGTGCTCACTTCCATTTCAAAACTGAAGAGCCAGCGCTGTCCGAAGATGTCTCCGTGGTCATGTGGCTGGCATGACTAAAGGCCAAAGGCGCACGGAATGCTGTTATTTTCCCACCAAATGTGATTCCTATTTTTCTACTTGCATTTTTAAGTGCTTTCGAACTGCTAGGTTGGCAGAAGCTGGGACAAGTAACGGGAGCTCACTCCATTACGTGGCACTAGGGCAGTGATGGCGAACCTATGACACGCGTGTCAGTGCTG